ATCTAATCAGGTTAGATAATCTTCCAAACAGCAGGTGGCACTGTCGGAAAAAACGATAGTTCTGGGAGTGCTGGTCTGAGCATGCAGGTTTTTTTTTTTTAAAGTTATGCTTCCATTTACAACAAACAAACAAGGTACATAAACACATCACATAATCTAACAACATGTGAACAGCCTTAGGTTGAGCATAACCAGTGATAAACAAGATCACAATAAACCAATAATAAAGAAGAAAATAAAATAAATATATAGAACAAATAAAACAAACCAATAGGGGCTTTTTACATTAGTTTATACATGCCCCAAAAACGAAATCAATTTGAGAGCTTTCTTGTTTTTAACCAATTCTAAAGATTTGCACAAAATTTTAACCTCATTCATCCACTGGTTAAAGTTGGGTTTAGATTTAAACCATCTACATTTATGAATGAAAAACTTTCCAAGACAAAGCAAGAAATTAATAACAAAATCCAACTCTTTGTTTTCCATACAAATACAGAGAGCAACATTATGCAAATTTCAGTATAATACTGAATAAATTTTTTAAAGAGTTTGGCATATAACAGCATTTTAGCTCTGATATTGAAATAACTTTTCTGAAAATATTTACAACAGTAGGCAACTTGTCTTTTTTCACATCACATTAAAACAATGGTAGTGTCTATATAAGAAATCTCACTTGGATTAGGAGTCTTCTGCACCACTACACCATTCTCTTGGAAGACAACACAAATTCACAGAAGGTAAAATAATTGGACACTGATATTTAAACCTTTCTACCTTTATCATCTGCGGTATTATTTGCATTTTAACAGACAAATGGCATCATCTGGTGGGTATTTGAGGACCAGCAGCTAAAGGCATTACAGCACAGTGAGCTCAACCGCAGAATGCTATTGATGCTGGTTTCTTCTAGATCACATAACAGTACACTACAGTCATATATCATACATGCTTGTACAATATCGCGCACACACTGAATCTGTCACCATCGGACATCTGCTGGAAACTTGTGTAAAGCTATCAAGTTAACACAAGTCCCCAGATGATCTACAACGCTGGAACTGTTGTGTAAATTGTAAGCATTGTTACTCACGCACCAAATGCAACAAATGCATTTGCTCTGGCACTTGTCCTCTGAATTCAGCGGAATCTGAAAGAAAATGTGATTTGTGTGACATTAAAGACTATGTTTTTGAAAGATGTGATTGACTAATGAAATGAGTGTCACACAGATATATTTATTTTGATATATAATCCATTTAAAGTCAGGGTGTTTAATGGTGCTTTTTGTTAGGAAACTGATTTTGCTGATGAGCACTCCTTCACAGTGCTGATATAAAATAAGATCATTATTACACAGAAAGATTTGAGTTACTCACCAGAGACAAAAACCATAAATCTCTTGAATGAGGGTTTTCTACTTCCAATGATCTTTAGTTTATAGAGTCCAGCGTGTTCAGTTGTGATGTTTGTGATGGTCAGAGACCCAGTTTGATGATCCACATTCAGTCTGTCTCTGAAACTCACATCAGGGACATCATACATAGTGATCTCGGTCTCTCCTTTCAATTTCACTATAGGAGACTTTTCCTTTCCAAACTTCCATAGGATTGCATCATTTGTCTGTATTTTAGTATCAGAGTTTAGAGTGACAGAACCCCCCTCGATCACTACTACTGGATTCACTTCATCTGTATCAGCAGCACACAGAAATACAGAAATTAGAACAAGAAAACCAACAGTAACAGAAATGAACAAAATCAGGTAATTCGCTCCAAATCTATGTGTCAGCGACTTCTAAGTTCATAATTTGTGTAAAATTCTGTTTACGTTCTTTTATCTAAACAGGACGCTGTTTTGTTTTTTTAGCTCTGCCCGTGCAATCACATCTTCATTTTTTGGTTTGCCCTCCTCTACATTCTTAAAAATTAAGACTCCAAAAGGGTGTTTTTTTGGTTTGCCCTCCTCTACATTCTTAAAAATTAAGACTCCAAAAGGGTGTTTTTTTGGTTTGCCCTCCTCTACATTCTTAAAAATTAAGACTCCAAAAGGGTGTTTTTGCAGTGATGCCATAGAAGAACCATTTTTGGTTCCCCAAAGACCCTTTAAGTGAACAGTTCCTAAAAGAATCATTGTGAAGAACATTTTAAAAATCTAAAGAACCTTTTCTGCATTTAAAGGTTCCATGGATGTTCAAGGTTCTCCATAGAACCATTGCTGACAATAAATAACCTTTATTTTTAAGAGTGTATGGGATCGGCTTGGAGAATCAATCATTGTTTTTCTAGCAGAAGTTTTTGTATTCATCATGTCTCTTTTACAGTTGTAAGTTTACTTGAAGTCAGTGTGTAGGAGCGACTGCTTAGCTTGTTGAAGCTGGTCTTCTAGCCTGACCAGCCCAAAAGTGGTCAAAACCAGACAAAAGACCAGCCTGACCAGACTGGAAGACTAGCTAAGACCAGGTTCAACAGGTCAGGAAAACTGTTGTGCTTTCAGAAGACCACATAATAGTCATAAAGTACACATATGCATACACATACACACACAGTTGGTTATGAACGAACATTTTTACACATTTAAACCTTTAAACTGTTTGTCCCTTGCTTGTATTAGCTGTAATATTTACATTTTAGTTTAGAGATCTTCCAGCGATAGTAAATCACAACAGCAACTATAGTCGCAAACACCAGCAGAACAACAACCATCCCTGCTATTTCACCTGAAGACAGACGTGGTTCTGTAATGATAAACACTAAGTGTTAAAAAATTACATCAATACATACAATATTAGTATGAACATAAGTGAAATCAACTTTATGTTCAACTTAACTTTTTCACATTCATTTAAATAAACAATTTCAATAAAAAGTGATTGTCTTAAGTATCAAATCATTATGTTAATATGACAATCTTAATGATAACAATACTATTTTTTATATATATTTTATAGTATTTTGCACCAACATTTTTGAGAGTCTAACAAACAAGACATTTTATGCTAAAATTTGTTCATGTAACTTTAGGACTGTTTAATAGCTCTGAATACAATATTAACTTTGACAGATTTGATCGACTCACCATTGACAGTAACAATGAATCTCTGGTGTACAGTATGTCTGTTGCTGTTGATATTCAGTTCATAAAGTCCAGAGTTTGAGGTTTTGCATTCTGTTATAGTGAGAGATCCAGTCTGGTTATTAAGCTTCAGTTTGTCTCTGAATTGTCCGTTGTCACCATTATATATATAGAATATTTGGGCTGTTTTATTGATTTCAGCTATGACAGTGTCTCTAAACATCCACAGTATCAGATCATTGCTCTGTACTTCAGTGTCATCAGTGTGTAGAGTGACAGATTCTCCCTCCATCACTGACACAGTCTTCATTTCACCTATGATTACAAACACATGAAGAACAGCTCAGACGTCAATCAAATGCATACAGAAAGATGAAACAAATGTTGCAGTTAAAAACTTGTACTAATAAAGAGAAGAAAGAGAAATAAAATAAGAAATCAATTGGGCAGAGAAGGGGTGTACTTCATTCCCCAAGAACATATTAAGATTAAATTATAATAATAATAATAAACTTGGTGTAAGTATGCGCTCATCGTCCAGAAATGAACTATAATTCAATACTCAAATTTTCCTTAAATTAAAAAATTTATAAATATATATATATTCAGACCACAGATCCAGGCTTAGTGACTTTACATTAATATATAATATTAGTACTAGTAGGAATATAAGATTGGTAACATTTGACTTAAGATGAACATAATTGACAGCAAAATTGTCTTCCTTTAAAAATACCATGAAATGGCTGTCTAATGCTGGAAAGCTTGTACCTCGTTATCACGCGTTCAAGTTGGAAAAATAACATGCAAGTAACAAAAAAATAATTATCGTTATATTGTAAATAAACTCCATCTTACTTTAAAATTATGAGAATTAGGTTTATATCACTTATTTATACACTCTCAAAAAAGAAATGACAAAGCTCTCACCCTAAGATACAAAAACTAAAAGGTAAGTACATCTTTGTGCCTTATTTACCACTAAATGGTACATATTTCGAAAGGGTACTGCCCCAGACAGCTTTGTACCTTTCATCAGAGAGTTATGAAAACTAAATACTTTTGCAACATAACTTTTAACTTTACAATTGTGTGTAACTTGCTCTGTACTTCACATCTTTAAAATGTTTGAAATACAGCATGCATGACTGAAGTTGCATTGGAAAAATTTGTCCATGGCAAGCTTTTGTAAAATAATATACGTTGCTTCTTGTGCATGCATTTCACTGCAGTTTCAAAGTGAAATGTCCAGTATGTGTTGCTAAAAGATGTCCAAAACCTATTAATGTGACATTACCTTGTCATGTTACATTTCAACATTACATTGTTTCATGCACATTTAGAAATTAATTGTCTGGTGAGTGGCCCTAAATGTTTAGTGCTCTATTGCATTTGAAAATTACATACCACCTTAAAGGTAGGGTAGGAGATTAGTTTTTTTGTTATGCTGGTTGAAAGTCTGACCAATAGACCTGACCAATAGTGTTTACAAGCTCTTTTCATTCACTTGCACTAGGCTTTGTGGGCCGTGTTTCACAAGATTCATACTCGAGTGCTCCACATTGCAAGTGAATGCTGTACCAGGTGAGCTACAGTATACTGAGCAACTTTACAGAAAAGCCATACGGAACACGTAATGTGATGTTCTGTTTACAAATCATGCACTACTGCAAAAGTGTAAAAGCACTCATGACAGATAGTATTGTGCAAGTAAATGCGTAAATACAAGTTTGAATTAATCAGTAACCTGCTGCTGTAAACAAAATTTGTGAGAAAAGGAATTAAAGTTTTTTTGTGTGTGTTTTACTTCCACGAGTGGTCATTTCAGCTGAAAACTGCAGTGAACTCTATGTAGGCCTATATTTTTAAATGTAGGTAAAGACACAGTTTTCCAATAAGGCTATAATTCAAATGCACAGTTGCTGCAGCAAGTCACCCGAGAATGCATTCAATGCAAACATGATCATTTGAATCTAAATTGTTCAGTGGTGATCCAGTTCATTATTACATTGAAAGACATGAGCTACTCACCGCTGACAGTCACATTGAATGTCTTGTGTATGGTGTGTTTGATGCTGCTGGTACTGATGTCCACTTCATAAAGTCCAGAGTGATTGGTTCCAATGTTCTTGATGGTCAGAGATCCAGTCAAATAGTCTAGTTTTAGTCTGTGTCTGAATCTCTTATCAGCATCATCATATTTGAAGACTTTTCTAGTCTGTCTATTGTTTTCAGCAATAGGAGAGTTTTGATGTTCAAATCTCCATCGTATCACATCATCTCTTTGTATTTCAGTAAGACCAGTCTGTAGAGTGACTGAATCTCCCACCAGCACTGACACTGACTTCACTGCAGCTACAGCCACACCTGGAGAAGAAAAAGAAATAGTTACTAAGACTGCAACTATTCAGACCTTTACTGGTCCAAAACCAGCTTTACAACTTTTGAAGATTTCCTGGATAAAGTAACAACACCCGAGACCCTACAGAAGATGAGAGGTTTGGAGGAAGGATGGATGGATGGAAATCTAGAGGAAAATGTTGCCAAAAAATATTAATTGCAACTGTTCCATCAAACATAAATCAAACTCATTACAAAATACAAAAAAGGTCTCTTTTGAATCCCCATGTGCAAGAATGTGAATATGACAATGGCAGCAGCAAATAAAACAAATGACATAATACATTTTTATGCACAATTAAATCTGATCCATTTCTATTTGTACCAAAATGACACCTATCTTTACAAATGTGTTTATGTGTGCATTCAATTGCTTAAAAAATGACACTTACATTTGTCTTATAATTTTGAGCTCATACAGGTGTATATTTTACTGCATGCATTTGAGGGAGATGTCTGTAAATGTGATGCATCTATAACAAATATATTTTTGTGGAGTTCTGACACTGTTTTAATCTACTACTCATTTAAGCATGTTGTATCACAGCCACCACCAAAAAAGAAAAATATACTCACAACTGACATTGAATATCTTCCTTAAAGTATGTTTGCTGTTGGTCATTTCATAAGGTCCAGAGTGTTCAGTTCTGATGTTTCTGACAGTTAGATCTCCAGTTTGTATGTCCAGTTTCAACCGGCTTCTGAATCTCTGGTTAAGAACATCATCATATGTAGAGCTCTTATTGGCTGCTCTATTGATTTGAGCTATGAGGGCACCATCAGCTCCAAACCTCCACTGTATCACATCATCTTTCTGTATTTCAAGAAGAGCAGTGTGTAAAGTGACCGAATCTCCTTCTGTCACTGATACTGACTCACCAAACGCACCTGCAAATAAATAATAATAATAATAATAAAAGTTACACTGACAAAAATAAACAAATAAATAGAATAAAATAAAATTGTCACTATACAGATTTGATGTTATTTACTCTTGCTTAATAAATCTAATTTCATAATCTACATTAAATTTCGATATAAATTATGTTTAATTAAATAATAGGCAACTAAAAAACAGGTGAACAATAATCTGAATTTTGTAAAGATCTTTGATTCTCACTCTGCGCACATGAATTGTATAAAACATAACTCATAAATAACATAATTGTTCAGCTGGAAAATGTAAATTAGTGCATTTGTTGTAATAAAGGCAATCTGCAAAAGTATATAAATAAAGTATATATAAATCTCAGAGTGTCTTTACAATGGCAGTATCCAAGACTGGACACCGCCTTGTACCATGAACTAAAAATTATGTCGCACTTAGAAAAAAGTGCGGAAGTGTATAAAGTGAAACAGAAAGTTTCTTAGAAATGCACAAAGCTTACCGTCCATGAAAAAATTTAATACAAAGAACAATAAAATGCCCTTCATATTGCCGTAGATGTCAGTAAATTATGAGTTTCAGAAGATTATCAGTGGATATTATTTGTTGTAATCCGTTGTGTTTCTGGGTGTGTCAGTCACACATGTACCGACTGACAGAGAAAATCACTGAAAACTCGACTGAACATCGACAGACAAGCTCCGTGACAACTGATTATGTTATGCTGCATTAATCCGTGTATACCGTGTTACTGAAAAGTAGTGACGGTGAAATGAAACTTTTCGAAGTAGGCCTAACGTTACCGATCTTTCCCCTCAACTGTATCGTATAATGTGGTTCATATTACTCGGAGCTTTTCAAAACATTGCACACAAATGACATCTTGTGGTCAAAGGTGGAAAAGGTGCCTTTGCGTCCCAGATGTCCCAGTGATTTTTGGACTGCTGCTGCTTCATATAGTACGGAGCCCGAGAAGTCACCTGTAGGAGAAAAAAAAAACAATCCGTGGCGACGGTTTTGCAATCCGTCCCCTCAGTTTATAAACCGTACTCACGAATTCTTAAACTGCGGACAACCACGCAGAAGTATAAATGAAAACTGACGCATAGCCTATGGCGTAGGTCCGACGCAGAAGTATAAATAAGCCTTAGTGTATCCCATCAAGCATCATGTTCTGGAAATAAATCCTGACACTTTTTGCCGAGATCTCGCGAGAGGTCACGGAAACCTTTTCAATGCAGTAGTGATATTTATTTTGTACAACATTTGCAACTGCTTTTTATCACTTAATTAGAAGCACCA